GCTTAGCTAGAAACTTGGGAAGGGGGCTATGTCCAAGCAGTTTGGTCCTACTAACTCCAAAAGGTGGATATTGTTTGTTTAAGGGTCCACTAATGCCAGGCCAATTCCAGCTCTTTAGTGTGATGTTCAAAAAGTTTTTTTTTCAACTTAATGATTAGGGTTGGGGCATTTAATGAGGAATCCATCATGAGGGAAAACATTCATGAGAGTTAATTAACGGCCTTTGACTATAAATATGAATGTTATTTTGTTTACCAATTTGTGATTTACCTATTAATGCAAGGTGTTTTTTTTCTTTCCTAGACTGAAATCCATACAGTCATAAAACCCCAAATTGCAAGGGACATTTCAGGATGCATGGTCAGATTGCCTTGGGAGGTGGACTCAAGTTTATCTCCACACATCCTGGAACATCTCCCGAAGATCTCTCCATGTCAGTTTATCAACAGCAAGAATCAGTGCAGACTTCCTGAGCGGTAAAAAGTTCAGTAAAAGTTATTAACTTGGGACAATTATCATCATCATTATTATTGTTACTATTATCATTATTTTCATTTATAAATTTTATTGTATTGGTTGTTATTAACTTCATATTCTATTGCTTTCACAGATTTTCCAGCTATGTTGACCAGTCCATTTATGAGCTTGGTCTGGAGCCATTCTACTCAGGTGGGGATGGAAACTGCTTCTATAATTCACTATCCATACTCATGTCTGGACATGAAAGTGACATTGAAATTTTTAGACTGGGTGCAACAATGTATGGTCTTGCTCATTATGACCACATCGTGGATGCAGTAAGAACAACCAGTTATTTTTTGTTATGTTTGCTAAGCTTATTAGTGTACAATTTTAAGGTCCCTGTTTTATGTTTTAAGAGAACTTTAACAGAGGTCAACCTCTGGATCTCCTTTTCAAAGCTGAGACTGAGGCATAATAAATCAATCTTAAATTAATCTTTGAAAATTCATTTCTTAGTTCTTCCTTTAGGTGCTTGTTTATGTGGTTGCTTGTTATACAGAAATATGTTAATCCAGCTGTTAGAGAAATTTGCTAGTTTGATATTCTCGGATTACTTAGCAAGCAATATAAGGTTGGGATTTTTTTCTTTATCCTCTAAACACTAACTGCCATTCGTGTCAATTCATTTCTTTTCATCAACTTCATTTGTTTCATGGACTGCTTGCAAAACCCAAAATCCTTTGATCACTTTTGATAATTACACAATGATTTTTGTGCTCACGTTTTTCAATCATATTTGACAACTGTCCAATAAACTAATATCTGTAGTAGCCATCTCAGTGTCATGTTAACCATTCCTGTGGTTATTTATTACCCTCTCTGTAGAAGTAACTAAACTGCATTTTGAAGATTATATTCCATTTGCAATATAACTTTAAAACTACTTACTTTGTACTTCTGTCATATTTCTTTTTACAGAATGCGAGGCATTTTACTGATAGAGGCGATGCTTTGCAGTGGGCAGCCAGTGTGAGCCTTTCACCGAACGAGGTTCAGGAAATTAAAGACAAATCCATTCAAGAAATTGTCGCAAAAAGTGTCTAAAGGCAAGTCTTCAATGCTTTAAAGAATTTTACTAATATAGGTAACTAACTTGTGACTTGTTCGTTTTAAGGACTGGCTCACATTCTTTTGAATCAATTCCACATCTTTATCATCTCATTACAACCAGGTATCACTCGTTTCTCCACGCAAGTTGGCATTACAATACTGACATCCACAGTTTTTTTTTTTTAAGAACTCTTGCAGGTAACCTTTGCTGCCAGCTTTTTAAAGAAACCGGTACAACAGCACTGCGAACTGTCTGGGGCTGTATGGTACAACACAAAACAAAGTCCTCCTTGTTGCTTCCAGACAGACAGGGAAGAGGGGCCTTTTCACATCATCTGGCTGCCACTTACAGGACAAGGAAACACCTTCAACCATATACGCCCCCTTCTGCCATGGAAGTGTGGTGCATTAGATGCTTTCTTGTGCATAATTCGGCGAGGATTTAAAACCCAACATTCAAGTCGCAATGAGATGGTGCAGTGTCTTACCTGCTTTGAGTGCTACCACTGGGTTTGTTTGGACATTTCTTTCGAAGAGGCTAAGGATCTCACTATAGTGGATTGTGGCTGCACGTTGCCCCACCCATATCGGAGCCACGACATGTGAGTGTACAGTGGAATCCCTATTTTTCGAACCTCTTGATAACTCGAACCCTTGAAATTCTGTTTCCCTTCCCTCAGTCGAACACTGTAACTTTACCCCGGTTCCTAAAGCTACCTTATTATTTGAACAAAGTTTTGTTTATCTTGAATTTTCCATAAAATCTTGATTCCACTGTACTTTCTCTGCTACTTTTTTGTTTTGGCTCGTTTTTAATGTTTTTAAATGTAGCGTACTGTTCATTTTATCTATTATACTTTGTAGATCGATTTACTCAAACTAAGGTAGCATTCTACGGTTTCTAACGAAGGCATATCTGAAGGTTTGTACGTTAAAGATACACTTATTATAAAGATTTTATCAAATCTAAATTAAGGGTTAAAGTTTGCATTGCTTCCTTTCATTTTCAGACATTAACAACAGAACTCGTAATTAACCAATTAACCAAAGTATACCTTCATTAAGGCTACCACTGAACACCGAACATCGTCTTTTATCGCACCGAGACTTGATGAGGTTGGTAGCAACTGTACCCTCGGAGGACACGCGGTAATTCCATTTGTAGATTTAAAAATATCTTAACAAAAAGAATCGCGATACTTAGAATCGATTGAAGGACATGGACAATTACTGATTGTGTACAGGGACAAGTTGCTTTCGTTTTTTCAGTGTTCTTTAAAATACGATTGTTTAAATGCCATTATTCGGCATAACGCCAAAAATAATATATATGCTCGCACGACCTTAGTTTAGTTTAGTTTCGCGATTTTCGGCTATCATGGTACACAACATGCAGGGTGTTTAAAACTAACAAAAAAGTAAAGCGACCTTTGCGTTTTTTATCTAGTTCCTATTGACATTATGATCCTTTCGTTTTCAAACAAACAGGTTGATACTATGGCCGAGCGCATGACAGCGGTTGCAATGCCTATCATTGGTTCACTTACGAAAGACCTACAGACCTGGCTCTTTATGGATGTGATGCTCCCAGAAGTATTGTATTTGAAATTGTTTCTAGAACGGCACGGCTTATGGTTAAGTATCTGAAGACTTATCGTATTTTAATCTTTCAATTATTTACCGCGACTTTTTCAGCTTAAAAAAGGAGTTTTTGATGACTAGCCTCATCTGTGACGGTCACCTCCAAACTTGCCAGTGTTTTACGTGTAACTTTTTGGGTTGACAGGTTTCCAGTATGCTATATTTCCAGAGGGTGTACACTGCAAACCGTTTTTTATTTCGGAAGTTATCTTAAACCACAATTGCCTAAAAATTTAATGCTTTTTCTTCTTATCTTTCAGACCATAATCAAGTTCATCATGGAAAAAGAGGATCTCAGTTATTTTAGAGCTTTAATTTTCTGTCAAAGTAGTCTTGTTTCGGTAGCAACTTCATAGATAGTTTTAGGCTCACTTTGCCAAACATAATTGTCGGTTTTATTACATCATCATGACACACCACATATCACACTGGCGAAAGTTTTGATCTAGGTGCTTCAGGAAATTGAATCCAGTCCGCTCTTAACTTCGCGTATTTTATCGTGTACTTTCTTATGTTTGATACAAATAGTGCGGTGGTTTGGTTATTTAAAACCCTCAATAACAGGAATAAATTTAAAGAAAACAATACAGTAGTTGGTGGTTATACGTCTTAAGTTATTCAAAATGAAATAATTAGTAGGTGCCACACCAGGTCTCTTCTCTAAACCAATGAGAAAAATTCAAACTTCATCTTCAAACTTCCGATATGATGAACTTTTTCTATGCAGCCTTGTTTCCTTAATGCAGTAAATTTATCCATCATAAGCATTTGTACCAAAACTGGAAGGGTATTTAAATGAAACCGCAACACAAAAAAGGCTCAACTCGTTTGATAAATATTTTTAAATTACTCGAAACAACCCCAAATGATTACGTTACGCAAACAAAAAAGTTGAAACTTTATCTGACTTAAGAAAATCTTTTACATTGCAATGGAACAGCCTTGTAGTCAGTCAAGTGTTACTAATATCTTGATAAGAAAGGGAAACAAAAGGCAAGAAACTATTTTCTATCATTTAGTCTTTTTAATATATAAATTTCGGCAAGCCTAAAAGCGGAGCCCCACAGTTATGGATTGTTTACTGCACTTAAGAATATTTTTTTCCATTCTGGTAAATAAGCGGTTAAAATATTAAAGGTACAGTTTCTAGTGGATCATCAGGGATGAATTAAAATCGCCTACGGCCAAACTAAATACTTTTGTGACACTGCAAAATCTGCTCACGGCACCTCAAATGATCTTGAGACGCAGTAAGATAAATTCCCGATAAAAAAAAATGAACTCAAGGTGTCCAAAATTAGCTCACGGCAACAACAAAAAACAAAACACGGAAAAATCAAAGCAAAACAGAGAGTGGAAACGAGTCTTGAAACTGTAAGAAATCAAATCATTTCTACGCTGCGCGAGAAAATACCGAAATGTGAAAATAAACAAAAACAAGAGAACAATTACTTTATGAGATGAAGCCTCAAATTCCCAATTAACGGTCGCCAAATGAAACAAACTTAAAAGAAACTGAAAAGGGCGGGAATGTTCGAAATAAAACAAGACAGGCCGTTTTGCATTGGCCGGCCTGTTCAAACTAATTTAAAGACGCGCTGTATTACCACGCTAAAAACCAAAGTTGTTAAAAAATAGGAACTGAAAGAAACTTAAATAAAGGTCAATTTTCATTCAAAATAAAGCCTGAAATGTATCGACAAACTAGAGACAATTCGTTATGCAGCGGCCGCCGACCTGTTCAAATCAGTCAAATTAATTATTCATCCCATAAAACTTATCGCAAATTACATTGCTATACCTTGGATCTCGAGCTGCTTACGCCGTAGCGAATTTCGATACCAAATGAAAAATATACAATGAGTCATGAAGTTCTTTTCGTTTATGTATGAAAAGAATCCTTTGAAAGACTTCAAGCTTGAATAGGCTTGTTCTGCAGCCTGACTGTTTAAGGTGTCCCACTGAGGGTAACGGGAGAGGTTGTAAGCCTCAGAGCAACCTGAAAAAGAAAAAAAACATGTTCGAATGCTTTGCATTGGTACTGACAAAGTTAAGATTAACATATTACGTCGAATGTGCTTCAATAAATGTGTGTAATGTGCCATTAGTTTAGTAAGAGGGGATAGACCCGAGAGCATAGCTAAATGAACACCGAAGATTAAAGATGGCCAAACCGAAAAAGCCAGTTTTGGGGTGATTTACGTACCTGTATGATCCCGCCAATGCAATCGATCCACAAGGAACTGAGAGTTCTTGAAAAAGACAGGATCCCGATTTAAACAATACGAATGCAAATTACAAGAGTTGTCGTAGATAACCAGGCGGGCATCTGTCAAAAAAAAAAGGCAGAAAAATTGTAATGAACCTACTTTTATTATAACTCGTTTAATATAAAATCACTTTGATAGAGGAAATCAAGAGAAAAAAACTCCAAAAAAACCAGGCCCTGGTTGTTCAACGGGTGGATAACGCTATCTACAGAATGAATCACCATTCGCCTTTAAGTGTTGTGATAACATACAACGCTATCCACTGGATGGTGATTTTTCCAGTGGAAGGCGTTATTCGTCCTTTAAACCGACCCCAGGTAATAAAAAGAAATTTTCTTCAACGCACGACGTCATCCAATCAAAGGCCACAACATACACATTCACATTAAATCGAGCTTACCTCGTGAGAAACGCATTCGAAACACTGTAAATGGGATGTTAGGAGATTCGCTGCAAAGCATTACATTAAATCCATAAGTTATACCTAAAATGGAAATCAAAAGAGAGGATATAAAACCATTTTACACAATCACAACAACACTGCGTACATTGAGTGCCTGAAAGCATGTTGTGAAAGAACATGTAATGAAGGCTGAAGAGAGGGTGTAACTGGGGTACATCACTAGTCAATAGAAATCAACAACCTTTATTTATACAAGTCGTTGTGCTATTTAGCCAATAAATTGCAAGAAAAACTTTGATTTAGTCAGTAAACAGTAAAAAAAACAAAACAAAAAAAAAACAGGCTAGTCAGTTAATTTGTGCCATTCTTTGACTTGACAGCTGCAGATGTAATCCTTTTCAAAACTAAGCATTATAAACAGTTTTTGTCTTTCAAGAAAATGACGTTTGTTGAGAAAAACCTAAACCTGATAACTAAAACCACAGGCAGAGCATAAACCCGGAGCTTGTTAGGATAATCTGGAATATACAAAGAGTAACTAAAGCTAGTTGGGGGTCAGAGTGAACTCAAATTTACATTTTTTATATCAGAAGTAATGTTGTTCATCGTAGAAATTAATACAAATGTTAATACAAACTCATAATATTATTGTACCTTGTTTACAGTGCACTAAGAAAACTCCAGGAAGTAAGGATGGTTGTCGAGTACTCCTCTTTGTGCAGATGTTTGGAGTTGTGTCATCCAGACAATAGTCACCACGACTTCTTACCACAGGCAGGCAAGGATAGTATTCTACATCACTCGTGCGGTGTACATCCAGTTGCACAGCATCTGGTATTGATCCATTTCTGCCAAACAGAGACTTTACTTTTTCCAACAGGTCAATAATAAATGCAGTCAAGGCCTCAGGAAGCTGATCTTCCTCCACAATGCTAACTATGTCAAACAGGAGTGGAAAAGTTTGCTGGAGTAGAAGCATGTCTTCAGGACACTGCTTGACTGGTTCATTGCCAATGAGTCTGTGGTAAGATGTTTCCAAGGAGTCCAATTGGGGGTGAAGTGCACACACTGAGGAAGCTTTTCCTAATGTATTGAAAAATCCAGCAGTAGGTGTTGGAAAAGAGACATCAGATCCATAGAACGAAATGCACCAGGAAAGAAAAGTACCTAAGGCAGGTGCACATCACTGCAACTCCAGGTGTAAAGAGGTCATTAGCCTTGCTAACAACACAGCCTACTTGATCCACCATCTGCCGGACATGTTTTTCAGCAAGGTAAACCCTGTCACGATGCCAAGTGATGTAATAAAATATGAAATAATTAGCCTAAATGCACAGAGTCTACAGTCTAATTGTTTCTTTCATCACGTCTTCCACAGGTGTTAAAGGAAAAAGTCTCTGACCTGCATCACACCTAGGTGTTTTAGCTTCTAAGTAAGAAATACAAATCTCTGTTGAAGTAAATACCACAAAAATATGGCGATACTTGGTAGCTTAGAATTTAGCAGGCTTCAAGCTGCAAAATAACCGCGCTGAAAATTAAGTGAAGTCCACAGGGTAAGTGTGTAAAAATGAGCACATAGGGGCGAATGGATGGATGGAGGTCAAGTGCATCTTCTGAAATAACACATCTGTATCCGTCTTAATTTAGTGGTCTGATATCTGTTTCTTATGTAAACAAGTAAACGTTGCATGAGCCATCGCCCTTTTGACAATTGAAAGTTTTCAAAGAGCCAATCAAACGTAGGTTCTGCATCTCATAAATATGCTATGATCAAATTAGCAATTCATTTAAACCGGAGAAAATCAGTATTCAAACGAAAGTTAAAGAATCACTCAAAATGTCTGTGGATAAACTGTTAGATTATTTGGAGCCAAAAACTTTCGGCAAAATTCACTATGTGGTAGTGGTTTTTTGGATCCTGATTGGTGTCATCCCCCTTGTTATATTCGCCGAAATGGAAAACAGCGAACCAAGGTTTGATTTCCGATGTGGCGCAGCGAAAAGTAAAAACATCGACTTCGTCCGGGGAAAATGTTACGAGAAATACCAGGAGCAGTACAACAAATTCGCTTTGCCTGTCTACGGTTTCGTAATCATAAATTTCGTCCTTATTATATTTGTATGTGTTATCTACTCCCAAATAGTAAGACCTACAGTCAATCGACTGTCGCGAAGCATTCGTAACGGTGATCCAGAGAGACAGTCGCGCAACCAAGAGAACGCATTATCAACGGGATACAAGCTTTTTATCGCTTACTGCGGTCAACTATCCATAAAACTTGTTTTAGGAGTTGTTTTCATCATCCTACAAACTCAGTTGCTTTATCCTTCAAAGTTTTCCTCTAAGTTTCACTGTTACTTAACCGATGGAACCACTCAGCCAAGGAATTCATCTAACAACGCCCAACACTCTACTTTGCACGACTGTCACAATCAACGAGCGACAAAGAAAACCTTCTGGATGGACTTTGTCCTTGTGTTAAATGGAACTTTCGTCGTTAGTATTCTGATTGAAATCGTCTACATTTTTTTTAGGGCATACAGAGAAAGGGATTTCATGCAAAACTCTAAGTTTCAAACATCTCATCTAAATCCTCCCGAAGAACCCCAGCAGCAAGAAGAAAGAATACAACTTGTAGTAAACATCTCACATGAAGTTCAGCACCAAGAACGGACAGAACATGAAACAAACATCCCACATCTGCCAAGCGGGCCTGAACAACTCGTAAAATCTTCGCTTCAGGAATTCATCCAGAACACAAAGAAAATGATTATGGACGACACTTATCAACCTCCACAACTCCAGTCGCTTTTTCCAAGTCCTCCTGGCAAAGGACACCCACCTAAACATTTGACTCTGGATCAGATTTACACCAACCTTGTTGTTGTACCTAACATGGCTGATTATGACTTTACTGAAGACAGACGGAAGAATTTGCAAATCTACGCCAGGTCGGGTGTTAAAAACGAAACACTGAGAGGGCCAGAGGACATTCTTAATCACGAAAACAAAAACATTTTGATCGTCGGTCGTCCCGGTATCGGAAAGACACTTTGTTGTACAAAAATTCTCAGAGACTGGGCATCTAACAAAGTATTCCATAAAACACCCGATGACAAAATCCACTTTGATGCTGCTTTCTTTGTCAAATTCAGATTATTCAACGCTGCAACCGACCTTAGCCTTCGGGAGCTACTGACCTGCTCCACATACTCACCCGGGAACAAGCTGGATGAGGAAGTCTGGAATTACATCCTAGAAAACCCGCAGAAAGTTATCCTTATTTTCGATGGAATTGATGAATTCAAAGATAACTCAAAGATCGGCACGGAAAATAAGAAACCACAATTCAAAAACAGCGTAGACGAGAAGATGCCCCTCTCGGCTCTTTATGCCAAACTAACGACTGGAATACTTCTCAAAGGGGCAGCAGTTTTAACTACAACAAGACCTACAGCTCTGTCATGCGTCGAAAGTATTCGCTTTCACAAAATCCTTGAGATCCTTGGCTTCTCATCCGAACAAGTCGAAGAATACGTAACCAAATTTGCTGAAGAAGACAAGGAAGCAGGCGACACAGTAAAGCGTCACATCACCAGCAACGTCAATATCTTATCTCTCTGTTACATTCCTGCGAGCTGCTTCATCATTTGCTCAAGTCTCTTTAAAATGGTGAAGTTCTACGGTTCTAAAGGTCTCAACCTACCAACAAGTTTAACAGCCATATACAAGAGAGCCGCGAAAATTTTCTACTTGAGACACAACGAAGAATTTCGCGATGAACATTTCACTCGCAAAGACTTTGAGTCAGATGAATTGCCCCCCGAAGAAGAAAAAAAATTGGAGAAACTAAAAAAATTGGCATTTGAAGGAATTAAAGAAGGAAGGCTGATCTTTGGAGCAAACGAAGTACGCGGAATGGAAGACAGCGGTCTATTTCACCGCTTACCCGACCGTGAACTTGACTTGTTTAGTAGCGAAGGACAGTTCTGTTTTATTCATCTAACAATGCAGGAGTTTTTCGCCGCAAAGTACCTGGTTAACAACATGAGTGAAACAGAATTAACAAACTTTGTTCAAATTAACATTAGGAAAGGCAAATGGCAGCTGGTTTTTCAGTTTGTAGCAGGATTAATGGAGAATAAAAATAACCTACCAAGCGAAATTATTACAGACCTTCTTCCTGTGAAAACTGAAGAAAAAGAAAGCGTACGCTACAACGTACAGTTGACAGAGAATGAAGAGAAAACGAAAGTGACCTGCTGGCCGACCAAAGACGAACAAAATTTAGCAGTGACTTTAACTAAATGTTTAAACGAAAATAGTAGAATGAAGTCAGAAGCACAGAGAAAACTTCAACAAATTAACTTTAATTGTGTAAATTTTATTAATTGTCACCTCACAGCTGTTGATTGCTCTTCGTTAGTAAATGTAATTAATGTTCAACGGATTTCACATTTAGATTTGAGTTACAATAACATTGGTCCATTAGGTTGTTTTAAGATTTGTAAATTGTTAAAATGTAGGGAATCTCAACTGAGCTGGTTAAACCTCGCATATAACCAATTGACAGATGAAGCAGCAAAGTATTTAGCTGAAGCCATCAACAACAACAACTGTCAGCTACGCATGTTACACCTCTCATTAAATAAAGTCTCAGACATTGGAGCACAGCACTTGGCTGAAGCCATCAACAACAACAACTGTCAGCTACGCACGTTATTCCTCTCATTCAATAAAATCTCAGACATTGGAGCACAGCACTTGGCTGAAGCCATCAACAACAATAACTGTCAGCTTCGCACGTTATTCCTCAAAGCAAATAACATCACAAAAGCAGGTGAGCAAAAGGCACGTAATTTATTAAGCAATAGTCAGTCTAAGTGTAAGCTAATTCTTTAGACCTCAGCAATTCCAATTATAAACTAAAAAGAAACTATTAGAACCACTTACTATTCAAAATAACTGTGAGGTAACCAGCTCAGTGATAATTACAACCCAACAACTCAAATCACTTACTCTGTGAAGCGCTCAGAGCAACGAGATTATTTGAACCGGATCGAAATGAAGAAAAAATGAACCAATGAACATGTTTATTGAGAACAAAGGATGTCAATCTTTTTTCTTTTTTAATGAACAAACCAATAACATTGAGGTAAAAACACAAAGCTTCCCGCAGAGAAAACAATCAAACCTCGAACCTCTCAGGAAACTTTTTCATTTTATGATTGGTTAGATCGATCCTAAATTCTCTCCGTGCTTTTGTATGTTTTGATCGCTTGGAGTTTTGTGTGAGATTTTAATCGGATTAGATGAATCTATACATTACCGATTACCTGGTAGAATGCCAGGTTTTCTCTCTTTCATTTCTTGTGTTTTCTACAATTCTTTTTTTGATTTTTTTTTCATTTCTCGTGTTTTCTACCATTTTTTTTTCATTAAAGCGAACTGGTTCAAGTAGTTTCACACTTTGGGCAAAATATTGAAAAAATGAGACCAAATTGTAAATAAAATCATCTTGCTTTCAGACAGAAGGCCTGTTACTTGTTCAATATAATAAATGTTGTAGAGTTTGCATCCAAAATCTGATGAAGCATCAGACCAGTTGAGATTTTAACTTACCAGTTATTGTTAACCCTTTAACTCCCATGAGTGACCAAGACAGGATTTCTCCTTACAACATCAATACAATGTCCACTACATAAGTGATGAGAATACAGAAAAATATCAATTTGGGGATAATAAGTTGATCCAATACTAACTTCTCTGAACTAACATTATAGGAATTGTATGGTTGACATTCAGGAGAATTACAAATTTGATCTGAGAGTTAGAGGGTTAACAAATGGAGCCAGACTTCCAAATTTGTCAAGACTGTACAATAAATTTTGTAAACCGAATTCAACTTTGTGTTGAGATACATTTGGCCTCAATTGTTAGACACAACTTGAAAGCTAAGGGGAAGGGGTGTGGCCTTTTCAATATCAGTCCGGATTTACCAATTTACCAAAGAGACTGCCTCAAGGTGAGGGTATGAGGCAACCCTTAAAAAAAAATCCCATACCCTATCTCAAATTGAATGATTTTCCCCTCCTTCTTTCAACCCATGCCTTGAAACAACAGTAAAATATCTAAGGAAGTGTAGTCACATGTAATCAATGTACCATATATCCTTGAGAAGGTTCCTGGCCAGTTTAAGGACACCTGTTAACCTTTTTTAAAGCAAGATTCATGAAATCAGTGGAACTCAGCACACACAAATAACAGAAAATAAATCAGAGATAAGAAATAAATCCCACAGGAAAAAAGAATGGGGAGAGGAGACAAGGAAACCTCACAAAGATTTCCACTTGTTGCAGCTACAAAAAACAAACATGACGAATGAGACTTCCTCTGGTTTTTTTTTTTTTTTCCAACACCTTCACATTCCATGATTTTTGCAGGTTTTTAGAATTAAAATGTAACTTTCCACATTTTTGAAAGAATGCTTTTGATCTGTACAAACTTTTTTGAAGAAGCAGGTGATTAGAATTTGTGTCCAAACACTTTTATTGAACAAATCTTTTAGTCTCTTTTAAAACCCTCTAACTCTCATTACTGACAAAGACAGAATTTCTCCTTACAATATCAATACAGTATCAAGCAGACAAGTGATGAGAATAAAAAAACATCCCTTAGGGCAATATTAGTTGATCCAATACCAAATTCTTTCAGCTAACATCATAAAACTTGTATGGCAGACAGTTAGGAGAATTACTACTGAGATCTTGGGAGTGAAAATCTCATCAACAGAGACACCTATGCAGAGCAGGGCTACACTCAGTTTCCACTCAATTCCACAGAAAACCGAATTCAAACCTGCTTGAAAAATATCTCTATTTGTTGAGAAATGCCAGGTGATGCCAAAAATTATAATCATTTTGTAGTGGACAAATTTCCCGAGCCTTTGCATACACACATTTTCTTCTAAGAATCAACAACCTGGCAAGTTAAGGTTAAGGAAAGAAAAATTAAGTGGATGTTTTGATAGAGGTTAATTGGAAATTTAAAGTATTAGCAATCATAAGTTTGAAAAGAAGAAAAGTAAACTTTGAGTCCATAAAGCTACATGTAATTAGCTCACAACGTCAATACAGTGTTAAATAATGATGGGAAATAGTCCCTAAAATAACTTGTCTGAATGCTAAAAAATTATACCAAAGTACATTTACAACTGAAAAGTATACTTGTGCAACAAGATCACTAATTTCCAGAATTTCCTTTGGAATGATGACTGGAAGCTGCAGATTTTTTACTCCTTCATCATTCTCTAGACTAACATTGACCCTTTTGTACTTGAATTTTGAAGAATCGTGCATTTCTTCCATTTTACAACTGATAGTGGCACTTGTCACAGCAGCCTTTTTAGCAATAACATTATAGCCACAATTGTGGCTAAATTTTTTGCTGAGAAGTTTTCTGATGATGAGTCAAACTCCAAAAACTGCTGCTCCTGTTGCTAGACAGCTTGTCAGATTTCCTTTTCATGATATGTTGTTCTTTCCTGCATAGAAAAGAGAACAATATCAGTGTTGAGTAACAGTGATTGATGAAGAAAAAGCTACAAACATATACAGTCAAACCTATAACCCAAACCTGCATCAAGCAGTCACCTGCACAGAATTGCAAGGAGACCACTTAAACAGTTTGCACAGAACAGAAGTCAAATGCAGTAAAAAGTGCTATTTTATGCCATAATTGATAACTTAATTTAAAGGTTATTCAAAAGCTCGCTAAAAAAATCCATTGCCTTTTTTTTAATACCAGTAAACAGAATCAACAAAATGGTGACATAGCATAAAAAAGAACACTGATGCAGAATTACTGTATACTATTATCTATCAGTTGGACCTCTAGGTCATAATCATAGGCTGATTGACTTGTGCAATGTTTGTGCATAATATTTGTCCCAACAGAATTAGATAATTTGCAATAAGTTGTGCACCTTTGAACTCAAAGTGCTATTCCTAGCTTTATTTGCAAGGTTCTGCTTAAGTGATTGTTAAACACATGCAAGTAGAAAACAATAAAAACAGGAAGCTGGGACTCAATCAAGGATGACCATGACCACTTAATAGAGGTGAAAATTACAATAATTAAGGGGAGAAAAACTGGCAACTGACTGCTTTATTACAGGGTAACTTTTTAATATGGTGCAGCTTAATACAGGTTCAACTGTATAATGATCACCCATTTCATGATGAAATAGATGTGCTTAACTATGTTTTCTTTTGTAGCACTAATTGCTCCAATAAAGAGGAACATTTTACAAAACATTAGAGGAAAATGCATCTTCTTTAACTCCCATGAGTGACAAAGACAGAATCTCTCCTTACAACATCAATACAATATCAACCACACATGTGATGAGAATAAAGAAAAGTATCAATTTGAGAACAATTATTTGATCCAATACTAAATTCTCTGAACGAACATTATAAGAACTGTATGGTTAAGATTAAGGAGAATTACCAATTTGATCTGGGAGTTAAAGGGTTAATAACCAGTACTTCTAGATGGCTTTAAAGACTTGAGGTTGTTTTTGCAGGTGTAATGGGCAATTCTGTTGAGCTGTTTTTTAAAACAGTGTTATAGCCTCCTCAAGGGGTTTTCCTGATCAAAAAAAAAAAAGTTATTGGTGAAGTTTACACCAAAGGAAGTGGAGACAGCATTGATTACAGCATTACAATTGTCTCTTTGTTTTTAAACCCCTTGAAAATACAGTTCATCTATTTTAATTGTATTAAATTCTACTTTTTGATTTTACTTTCTTGCTTGACACTTGGTTGGTGAACATTATTCTAGAGATAGTACAGACACATTCAAGTTTGGAAATGTTTTTCCTTTTCGGAATATTGAAATGTTATTTTATTCTTCCAGCCCCCATCCTGTCATTTCCTTTTACAATGAACCTCCCTACCCACTAAAAATTTACAGTACCATTAATAAATAAATGGCATGAATTGAAGAATTCCTTGTAAATTACTGGGTAAATAAAAGAAACAACAGCAAAAATTGCTGTAGTATGCAAAATGTGTTGAGTTGATTTAAAGCTCTCAAGTCTCATGCATTGAGCGTGAGACTCACGCAAACAAATTCAATCTTACACTCTCATGCTAAAGTAAAGTGTTTCGCACTCCTTTTAAGGTTTTGTATTTATTTGGTTGAATTTGCAATCACAAACCGCTGCTTTCATTAAGTACCTACAAAATTAATAATCCTTCCTAATATAATTTACTCATTCAGTTGTTTCTTATGCACTCATGTCACACACTTTTCCATTGGGTTAGTAGGAGGGGATAGACCTGAGAGCATAGCTAAATGAACACCAAAGATTAAAGATGACCAAACCAAAAAAGCCAGTTTTGGGGTGATTTACATACCTGTATGATCCTGCCAATGCAATCGATCCACAAGGAACGGAGAGTTCTTGAAAAAGACAGGATCCCAATTTAAACAATACAAATGCAAATTGCAAGCGTCATCGTAGACAATCAGGCAGGGACCTATCAAAAAAAGGGTAGAAAAATTATAATGAACTTACATTTATTATGACTATTTTAAACCCCTTGAAAATACAGTTCCTCTGTTTTAATTGTATTAAATTCCACTTTTTGATTTTGTTTTCTTGCTTGACACTTGGTTGGTGAACATTATTCTAAAGATAGAACAGACACATTCAAGTTTGGAAATGTTTTTCTTTTTGGAATATTGAAATGTTATTTTATTCTTCCAGCCCCCATCCTGTCATTTCCTTTTACATTGAACCTCCCTACCCACTAAAAATTTACAGTACCATTAATAAATAAATGGCATGAATTGAAGAATTCCTTGTAAATTACTGGGTAAATAAAAAAACAATA